AATGTTTTTCAGGTCCTTATTTGAGTTACAGTTTTCACAGCAGGTGCTCATCTAAGTGTGCTTTTGTGATGCATGAGTTTGCTTCTAGTGTGGTTCCTTACTTCTGCCCTTGATTAAAAATCTCTTTTATGAGTTAACAATTTCCCATTGCCAAGTAGAGAAACTTTCAGTATGTGTGCCCTAAAAATATCTAACATGGTTGAGGCTGTATTCATTTACAAGGCAAAGTCCTCCCTTGGTTTTTATTGAGTGTGCTCTTGGGTTTTCGTACTGGCTTGGTGACTCCCCATTTCTCTCCATAGGAAGCCTCATGACTACCAGCTTCTCTCACAGTGTCCATCCTCACGATGATCTTACCTACTAAAATCCCATTTTAAGGAAAATAGCTACAATTAATTTCCATTGTGAGTCCTGACTTCAGCCAGCCATTTGCATCTCATCCTCTCACTGATATGTCACACCCCTGTCAGTGCCATCTCTTCACTTTTCAATGGAATGACACATCTGGATTGTTAAACCCTGTAATGCACCCATTTGTTCTTTAGCTGGAAGTCTGGATTACAGCCCTGTATGCAGGCATCTGGAAGGAGACCAAGTCTCAGAGAGGACTGTGTCCAGTGGGCACCATCGGTGACTCAACCCCAGTGCCAAGGAACCTGTTCAGCTGCTTCAGCATCCTCAAATCCTCCATCTTAGCCTGGGTTATTGAAGACTTGCGTGCACTCTCAGCTAGTAGGTATGATACAATCAGAGCTGGGGCTGGAAAGAATGCAGCTTCCCAGACCAGTTAAGCCATTAACTGATTAGCTAACTTACAAATCATTTCCTCTAGGACCTTATCTGGCAGGGTCTTATTTTTTTATCTATGTAATGTCTTGTGATCCAGGTTGTGGTCAGGCAGAACATCAGGAAGATAAACTGGGAGGCACATTATCTTCATAAATATATAGATACTTTGGTCATCCTTCATACACACATGAAACATACTTTTTCCTGTTAAGATCCCTTTGGTGGCTGTGTCTAATGATTCCACCACCACCTCTGTAACTTACAAACCTACTTAGTGGAAGTAGAATTTCTTCTTGCCATTTCTCTTCATCTTGTATGCCAAGAGTAAGTTCTAAAACACCAGTATGTTCCTCCCCACTTAGAACACCTGATGTTTCCTGCCCATTCTGCCATACCTGGGAGTATGCTCTCTGGGCTGGAGACCAGCCTGCCTCCCTCCAGTTCTGCTCCCAGTGTTGAGTGCCTGTTCAGCACTCCCACAAAACCTGCTTTCTTCCACACAGTTCTTGCAGCTCCTCTCCAGCTCATGTTTGCATTGAGAAACCAGTGCTGAGCCATTTAATGAAGGCAGATCTTAGTGTTTAATGTATCTCATGTTTGTGATTATGTTAACTAGTAAGACCTGAATTAAAACAGACTTTTATTTTACATTTAATTCCTACAAACAAAGTTGAAAACCAGGGAACAAGCACTAATGAAGAGCTCTAATATAAATGTCCTGGCATGTTTTTAATCTTTTAATTATACTTTGCATCTGAAGTGCTTTTTAATAGGAAGTAAAATCGGATTTCATAGATGTACGTCAGAAAGATACCCTGAGCTCCGCTTCTAGAGATATAAAGTAGGCAGCTTAGGAAGGTGTGGTATAGGTTGCCCAACTTCTTTATGTTTAATTAACAGTTAAATTCTAGTCCACTGAAGAAAGAAAAAAAGGTTAGCATGATAAAGGATAAAAATCAGAGTGAAAGAATAAGTGCAAAGAAAGGCAATGCACAGGAAATAACATATTCCCGTGAGACTCTAAAATCCCTTTGGTGCTAGCCATCTAAATTGCTGCAAATACCAGTGGTTAACATTGGCAGAGATCCTTACCCCTGAGCACAGCCAAACACCAGCGGTCAGGTACCTTCAAAGACTCATTCAAGGCATGGCCAGTGTCAAGGGAGGGATGTAGCATTTCTCCTTTAATGTGCAGCCATCTGTAGTTGTGCATTGAGAGACTGGGTGGTCAGACTTCAAAAGGAAACGTGATTCTTCATCCTGTTGAGCTACCGCTTTCTTCAGTGCTTTGCAGAATGCACAACTTATTCTTGTTGAAGTTCAACTTTTCATATTTAAATGTTGTGGGTTTTTTTAAATTTCGCTTCTGAAATACAACTGGATTTGACATCTTTAAATCAAGCCTGTTCTGTATCCTGTAAAGAAAAAGGACCTACAGTTCTCTGTAAATCAGCTGAACAACTGTCAGTGTGATGCTTCAGCTTGTTTATGCTCCACCCCTGAACCATTGAGGTCTTTAACTTTAAAAAAGCAAAACGATTTAAAGAGGTTTTAAGTACTGCAGAGATCTTCCTTATGATCTGCTAATAGCACCTTTCAAACAGGAACAAAATAACAATTTTTTTCCATTCCCTGGGTTAGTTTTGCAAACTTGAACTATTTTTTCCCACCCTCCAAAAAATTGGCAAAATAGGACAGTTAAGGTATAGTATAAACAACAGGTACCATGAAATCACTGTATTGGTGATTTTGGTGTTATTTTTGGTAATATCGGTGTTAATCACAAATCAAATATGATTTAGCATGTTAAATTTATCTTGTCCTTTGAGAGGTTGTATATGCAGTCTGAAACTTCAGTATAATGCATACTTTGATGTGATTTTACAGATCCATTAAGACAAAGAAGAGCCATAAAAGTCCCTTTGGTACAGATATTGTAAGGCTTGGAGTGTTGGCAGCACCCTTTATTCCAGCTTTTTTCAAACAAAGGCAGAAAACAAGACTGAAATGGCTGCATCGATCTTTCAAATGGACTTATACTGCATCTTTTACAAGGTAGCCAGTCTTGATTAAATTACTTCAGTTGACGGAGATGCTCCCCTAAGAAGTTATTCTTAGTTTCAGAAAAGCCCTTTTGATACGAATCATCTATTTTCAGTTTTAACTTTGGTCAGATAACAGATAAAACCCAGAGAAGTTTCTCTAATGAAAGGGTAATGAGCCTCTCTATAGTCCATCCCTGTAATGCAGTCTTCCATACCCTGACTCTTGCTCTCAGTTGCTTCCTCCCCATCATTTTTGTGGGCATTCAAATAGTTGCTTAACTTTCCAGTTACTACTTGGGTATTTCAAAGTTAATCTCTGCATCCAGAGATCAGCATCACTTTAGCTATAAAGGTCACCCTGGGAATTCACAGTTTGCATGTTACTTCTGGTACAGCCGCATCGGCACACACAAGTGCTGCAGTCTCAATCTACCACTGATGCATTTCATCTCCACTGAATGTTATGGTTACTGCCTAGTATTTCACAGTTCTTTGAAATGGTATCTCTTTTTAAGCCCACCCTCTTGCTGTAAATTCAAAATTACCCTGTATTTATCCTTTTTTTTGGAGCATTTACCACAAAAGTGACTTTTCCTAAGCTATCAAAAAATTGGAATATTAAATAAATGAAAAATGCATATCTATTTTAAGAAGGTTGCAGTGAGAGTGTGGAAACAGATATTCTGTGTAATCTAAAGGGGTCTTTAACTAGAAGTCATAAAAGAATGCTCTAAAAGTTAGGATGAAAGAACCAGTTCAGGTTTCTCCCTCTTTCATAACTCTCCACGTCCATGTGCACAATTGCCAGCATTGTTCTGTCTCAGCTCCTTGCTTACACAGGAGGGGTAAAAACATCGCAATACTTGTTACCTCACACAGCTATATGAAGTAAAAAAAAATACATTTAAGTGTCTTAGGTGCAAAAATGCTGCAGTAATAGAGCAACAAGCATGCTACCATCTAGTTAATAAGAAGTAGCAACTCACAAGTTCTTACTATACAACAGTATATTTTATTACTAACAAAAACTGTAATAACAAAGCTCCTCAACATGTATATAAAGTCACCCGTTTATAAACATGACTACAAGAATGAAGGGTACTTAGTGTGCATTTTCACAGGAGAGTTTTCAGATCTTTCTCACTGTCCCTCCCAACAGCAAGAATTCTGACTATTTTTAATGGGGAAATTATAAAAAATAGCATGTCCTATTGAAAGCAATAAATTACAAATGCTAAAATGCAGACACCATAATAGAAAGATAAATACATTCAATTTTTAATGCATGGTGGATAAAACAAATAACTTTGGTTTATCAGAACTGTAGTTCCTGTTGATTCAGCATTTACGTGGGTTTTTTACCAGTTTTGATTGACTGTGCAAAGTATCAGTATGATGTCCAAATTAGAACACAATTCTCTGCATAGTATCAAAATATTGAGAAATATTCTTACTAGTAATAAAATGCAAGATGCTGAACAGTCTTATAAAATGCACTGACATTTAGGTTTAGAAAACAGAAAAATTCTGGCTTTAAATTATCTGAAGCACTGAAGTCATATTGACTTCACTGGAGCCACAATTTCTTAAGAGCCAAACAATGAAATTCTTACCCACCTCAGTAGTGCTTGCTTTTGAGAGCCACCCTATCATAAGAAAGTCTACATGTATTAAGGCCTTTTTGATTTAAAGAAAATATATTGCTGTAGCATATAGAAAATGAAGCTTTGTAGAAAAAGTATTAAGGTCTTCTTTTAAGTAAATATATTGTTAAACAAGCCTGTATATTAATAACTCAATAGTTTGCTTTCTGCAAGATATTTCTCTACAGAATTAAAAATATTAAGTTACTTGCATAGATACAACGTGAAACACATACTTTCACCGCAGCTCAGTAGAAAAACCCAGCGTATACTTCAGGATCTGCCCTCCAAGCAGCTTCTTTGGCATAATGCATGGGATCACCACACCAGGAGGGGCTACAGGAAGCATTTTTCTGAAGCAGTGCTGCATCTAACACATTGTCCCTGCAGATGTCCAACATCCCCACAGATATCCAACCAGCCCTGCCCCAAGGCACAGTGTATGTCACATGTTACACATACAGTACAACCTGCTTTCCGCAGAAACAAGTAACAAAGACCACAAGACTGCTGACTTACCTGGGGGAAGCATGTTAGCCTTACTAAGTTTGTACAATACATACAAAACACTAGTTATAAATGTTGACCTTATGCAGTCAGTTATTTACAAAATTCATTTTTATGTACAAAATAAGTCACTATAATTCCAGATTCCTTTTCATATTCAGTGTACAAGCTACCATAAAGCAGTGCTATAATCAATGCACCATGACACGTAATGTAGGGACTATATATATATAAATTTGTGTTTCCCTTATTTAAAGTGATACTGCTGTTAAAGAGACAGCAAAAAAAAAAAAAAAAAAAAAAAAAAAAGAGGAAAAAAACCCCAGGTTTTGGAAAATAACAAAGATGAAGATGGAACTTTCATGCCTTGAAAAGTAACAGTGCTTTCTAAGCATTATTTTAATACAATTCATTACAAAGTGTTTTTCCTATTGGGAATATTTGTTCCTCTCATCTTCTTGTTAAATTACTGCTAGTCAACCTAGCCATATCCTACAGAACTTGTTTCCACTATTCCTGTATAGGATAAAATATAGTACATTATTGCTAACTGCCCCCACAACAAAACCTACGTCTTTCAAGTGCAAAGCAAGATACATGTGTTTTTTAATAAGGCACAGAATACCCAATATTTCCAGTGTAACACAGAATCTCTATCAGTTTTATACACTGCAAATGTTCATATAAAATTTCAATCTTTCAAAGGTTTGAACTGTTTCCTGAATCCAACTCTCTTCTGGTATCTGAAGCCGAGTAGACAAGTAGCGGTAGGGAAGCTGACTGTGAGACATCAGGTATTTGGGAACAGCTGCCTTGTAATGGAGGAGATTCAACAAAATCACTCCTAGGAGTTATTCTAGAATTAATGGAAAAGAAAATACAGGGAGTCAATTTTAAGCACACATTGGAAAAAATATTGTAATTTCATCACTAGAAATGTATTTAAGCTATATTCTTTTCAAGAGAATGCAGCACAGTTCTGTGCATTTTGCCAAGCTCAGGGTCACCACTGCTCTTTTTCAGACCTGCCACCTCTCAAAATGATTACCGAGAGTATACTGATTCTTCAGAGAGAAGAAATAAAAAACTTATCAGAAAAAGAATTAATGGTCATACACATAAACATGCAGAAGACTGAGTTAAGGAGTCTTACCTTCCTTCAGCTGCTCTCTTCATACTCTCACCCAAGCTACTCAGGTGACATGTGCTATCTGCTTTATTTCTTTTTTCCACCTGATCCACGGTCAGTTTAGAACCAGATAACATTTGATCACTGTTTTCACCTTCGTCGACTCTTCGGACTGATGTTCCATCCGCCTCTACCTCTTTCTCAGATGTCTCTGGAGAGGTTTTAATTTCTGCAACAGTTTCCTGGCTTAAGTAATCATGATTAGTGATTGCTACTGCAGACGTTCCATGATTTGTTGTCCCAGCGGTGCTGGTCCCCATTGACTTCGAAATGACTTTCAGTCTGTGTGAGGTTGATTTGTAGTGCTTCTTTTTATGCTTAACTTTGGAATTATGCCTCAAGAAAAATTCACATGATTCTTGCAGCACTCTTCGACTTTCACTGATGGGACTGAAAGAAAATACAAGTGTGTAACTGAATCAAGGGGATAATCCTAGACAGAGTGTAATATAGCTTTGTACACAAACCCATGAAAGAATAGCAACCAGTAATGTAGTCTGAGCTGGATGTTAATAAACATGAGATAAAAAAAATATGTGAAAAAAGAGGGGAAAAAAGCCCCAATCATAATGGCTCCAAAGTAATGATGTCTGTGGAACAATTAAATAAAGCAGATTTCTACATATCTTACTTCTGTAAGTAGGTCCAATGGCTTCAGCTGATTAATCATCTCAGACAGGAAAGCAGGATTAGCTCATAAGCAGCTGTATTACAAAATTAACTTTATGTAAAGTAAACCTTGTTTAAGTGAAAAAAAGGTAAGCATTATAAAACTGACTTCAGTATTTTTAAATTCTTATAGCTTAAAGCAGTTAACATTTGAAACACACAAAAAATTATACAGGAAATGGAAAAAGAGGGGAGAGGGAAAGGAAGCTATAAGCTCACCATCAAGGAATGCAGATGTAAAATAAAAGGAGCTTAAGGACTGCTGCCTTGGGAAATCCAAAGAGGAAGATCTAAACCCACAGTATAATTTATGAGTAATACAGATACTTTAAAGGAAATCATCAAGGAATAAAAAGAAATGGAAAAAATGACAACTACTAGAAATGGGCATGACATTTATAATCTGTTTAAATCCACAGGCAGAAATTAAATAAATTAAGTAATAAAACTGAATTATTCTGTTTCAGAAAAATAATAAGGAAGAATAGATTAATATAATAAAAGTGATACTAAGGAGGGTTCAATGAAAATGAATTTTAAAATAAGACAAGCCTGACAGAAAAGCACAGGATGTTATTACGACAGTAAATACAGCTAAGCACTGTGCTACTGAAGCATCCACAACATGTGAAAGGATGTAAATTGACAGCTGAAATTATCTTTCCCCATGTGACTGGAAATAGAGATGCACTAGTCAATGCTAAACAACAATATGTCTTCTGCTTTACGAAAGAGAGCAAATCAGCAGAGGAAAATATTTTCTATTTACTGAAAATGTCAAAAAGTCACTGCATATGTAAAACTTCCACAAACTCTAACGGAATTTTGCTGATGCCCATATGCAGCATTTAGAAATGGTCGAAGGAGAACATTTTGATTGCCTGAGCTATAATTTAAAGAGATATGCCAAAATTCCAACTTATTTTAAGGTATATACTTAAAAAAAACAGGCATAAAAAAATGGTTCTTACTCTCTTTTGCGGTTTCTGTTGAAGAAATTGGCCCATTCAGAACAGGTCTTTTTACTTCCCACCCAGAAGACTGGAGATATGCCAACAATCAATGTCAGCAAATATTTCATCAGAAACAAAAATATTTCTGGTCTTGCTAGTGCTTTTGCCTAGAAGATAACAAAGTTGAATAAATGCAAAGAAGAAAATACATTTGTTGCTTTATTTTTTTTACACACAGAAAACAAAATAAATGATGCAAAAGAGACCTTCTCCTTACGGCTGCTGGTCTTTGTTGAGGCTTGTACTGAGGACAAATGTTAGACATGTACAGTCAAGTCAGACCTGGTTAATGTCTACAGCTGAATATACACAGAGAAGATTAGTCAGAAAGAATTTATTTTTTTTTAACTTGAAAGGAAAGATAATTTGGAGGGTAACAGTATTAGTAACCATGTTCTTCAGAGAGAGCCTGGATGTATAAGATGTCTCTCTTCAACTTAAAAGAAACAGTACGTGGATGAGTTGGGAGCTAATCAGACTGCACAGCATATTCAAGGAGCCGCAGGGAACTAAAGAGTAGGTTTTTGTTTATTTCAAAATTAATCCACTTATTTGCAGAACTGGATCATAGGAGCAGAGATATTTAATTCAGAGATTATTATCTTCTGCTCCCATGATGCAAATTTAATTTACATTACCTGACCTATCTGCCTGTCCCATCTATGAAGATCACTATTTCTGTTAGCCAGGTAACTTTAGCTACTTAAACTGAAGTTGGGTTTTATTTGGTTTTGATCAGGCCAGTGTAATGAAAGTCTTCAAGCTCGCTCAGGTAAACCAAGGCTGAGCATGCCACTTTAATCTACTCCACAGTTAGCACGTGCTGTTTATTACAGGGACAGATCCCATTAAGTCTATCTTTGCGTAACATTCCCTGTTGCTATTTACTCTTTCCAATAGGTTAATTATAGGCTGAGAATACATGCTCAATATTATTATACCAAACTGTTATATGTAAGCACTAAGAAACAAAACGTGCTTTTTTTAAAGCATCAAAGCCTTGTTTTTATCTTGTATATTTTGTAATTTTGAACTGTTTAGGTTGATACACAGCTCAGTGAAGACAAAGTGCACTTGTTAAGAACAGTAATGGAACCTAAGTAATAAAGAAGTCTGTAAGCTCTGCTACTCTCAGTTTATACTAACTTCAGTACACAGGATACAGAGGATGCTTAAGAATGTAGAAGGATCAAGCCTTATCATTCCATAATGCCTGTGCTTATATTCCGTTTTTTAATGATAGTTTATTGCAGTAAAAGCACAGATGGTAAGTGCAAAGCAATGAAAGATGACATGAGACACTTGCATTTCTCTTAATGATGGTGTCATCTTTTACATTTGTTCTTAATGGAAAGGAACCACAAATTACTTGCAATTGCAGGGAGTTTTATGTACTTACAAGAGATTTAATCCACAGAGAGTACTGAACATGGGCAGATTTACTTTAAAAGCCTTTCCAAGGAAGTTGGCGTTTTAAGAGTCAAATGTTAAACACAAACACTTCTGCACTTTAAAGTGCTGTTGGATTGTTTTTTCTTTTTTTGTTTGCTCTTTGTTTGGTTGATTGTTTTTAAGATTTCTTCACATACTGAAAATCAGCCTGCAAATGACAGCTATCATGGGAAAAATATACTGGAAATTTGTTTTGTAATTTCAAGTGGTTTACACTTCTGCACTTCAAAGACAAAAAAAAAAAAAAAAGGACAAGAGTGATTTAAAACCTATGGTTATAAGCAACAAAATCCCAGTTAGACTTTCTCAATCTTCAAGAATCATCATTTCAGCTTCAACTGAAATTGATGAAAATTCACCTTAAGTGCTTTGATACTGAGCTAGGTACCCAAATAGCAAGCAACTACTTTTAGGTACACATACTATGAAGAATGATCCTCCTCCCAGCATGAACTTTGTTGGGACTGGTTTTGTTCAACATCTTTGTTGGTGACATGGACAGTGGGATTGTGTGCACCCTCAGCAAGTTTGCCGATGACAGCAAGCTGTGTGGTTCGGTTGATACGCTGGAGGGAAGGAATGCCATCCAGAGGGACCTTGACATGCTTGTGAGCTGGGCTGATGCCAACCTCATGAAGTTTAACCATGCCAAGTGCAAGGTCCTACACCTGGGTCGGAGCAATCCCAGGCACAGCTACAGGTTGGGCAGAGAAGAGATTCAGAGCAGCCCTGCGGAGAAGGACTTGGGGGTGCTGGTCGGTGAAAAAATGAACATGAGCTGGCTTCAGTGTGCGCTCCCAGCCCAGAAAGCCAACCATATCCTGGGCTGCATCAAAAGGAGTGTGACCAGCAGGTCAAGGGAGGTGATCCTGCCCCTCTGCTCTCGTAAGACATCACTTGGGAGTACTGTGTGCAGTTCTGGTGTCCTCAACATAAAAAGGACATGGAACTGTTGGAACAAGTCCAGAGAAGGGCCACGAGGATGATCAGGGGACTGGAGCACCTCCCATATGAAGACAGGCTGAGGAAGTTGGGGCTGTTCAGCCTGGAGAAGAGAAGGCTGCGTGGAGACCTCATAGCAGCCTCCCAGTATCTGAAAGGGGGCTATAAGGGTGCTGGGGAGGGACTCTTCACTAGGGACTGTAGTGATAGGACAAGGGGTAGTGGGTTAAAACTTCACCAGGTGAAGTTTAGACTGGATATAACGAAGAAGTTCCTTATTGTAAGGGTGGTGAGGCACTGGAATGGGTTGCTGAAGGAAGTCGTGAATGCTCCATTCCTGGCAGTGTTTAAGGCCAGGCTGGACAAAGTCTTAGGTGACACAGTTTAGTGTGAGGTGTCCCTGCCCATGGCAGGGGTGTTGCAACTAGATGATCTTAAGGTCCTTTCCAACCCTAACTATTCTATGATTTTATGATTCTATAAATTCAAATACCTTAAAGATCATATATTCCCTTCAGATTAAGTCGGAGTTAACTGCCCCGTGCTATCAATTTGATTAACAAAAACTTTCAAAGCAGAAGTTTCATACCACCAATTTTCACTTAAGAAGCAACTACTCACTGCATGCTCTTGAACTGATTTACTAACTGCACAGCAGATACAGTAATGTATAATGGGCTTTGTTAATTAACTTTTCATTATAATTTATAAAGGAAACTGCTACTTGCCTGATAAGGACAAGGAATATGGTACTGGTCACAGTGGTCAAACACCCAAGTCGTTTCCCAGATCTTCCGGTTCACCAGTTCATAGACATAACATCCAAGAAGTGCTACAAGAGGCACCAAGTATAAACCACTAAAAACTCCAATTCGGATCATAAATTTCTTTAGCTTCTCCTGGTTTCTGCCATCATGCTGAATGACTTGCCGCACATGATTTAAAGAAATAATACCAGCTAAAAGAAGAGAGAGACCGAAAAAGACACAAAGGCACAACGGCAAAAGCACAAAGTATAAAGAGGCATCCAGATCGTAGAGACCCACGAAACAAACTCCACTGATATTGTCCCCTTCAACTTTGTTCATTGCAAGAAGCATAATGGTTAGAAAACCAGGTATTCCCCATGCAACCGCATGGAACCACATGGCCTTTTGTGCAATAGCTTCACAGCTCCATTTTCTTCCAGCTGCAAGGAACCAAGTGATTGTAAGAATCACCCACCATATAGTTCCTGCCATAGTGAAAAAATACAAAACCATGAAAAGGACAGTACAGGCTTTGTTTTGGGAGCCAAGAACAACTGTTTCACCGATTTCTAACTTATCATCTGCCTCGTTACAGGCAGTTTTGTTCCCAAGTAAAAATCCAATAAAGTACATTAGCGAGACTATGCTGTAACAGACAGAGTAATATATGATCGGCCTCTCTGGGTACCTAAACCTTTTAACATCAATCAGGAAAGTCAGGAAAGTGAAAAGTGTAGCACAAAGACAAAAGATTGAAACTATTCCAATGAAGCTTTTTGCAACATCCAATTCATAGTTTTTGAAGTACATATTGGGACATGGGGGTGCGCACTGATCAATTCCTAGAAACTTGTAGCCTTGTCCATTGGTAGTGTGTAGGTGTCGTGGACACCAGAATCCATAATCCCTTCGGGTCTGGCCTGGGGTCTTCTGAGTTCCATGTATGTTTGCGGTTACAGCAGCAGTGGCAGGAACAGTTTCATCACAATTGACTAGTCTACATAAACAAACAGAAGAGGAAATACCTTAATACTCCTCATTCTTAACTTCAATTATTTCTCAGAAATATGAAAAAAATCTGATTCTAAGCGCTTTAAATTTTGTAGATAATGCAAAATGTGCATTACATTGAAAACTCCAGTGGTATTTAAAAAAACAGACTTAAAATACTTTCAGTTTAGAAGACTATTCAAGCACAGCTATACAACTGTTGTTTTATTGCTTATGAAACTACTCAAATTTCAATTGTTCTTTTAGAGTCTTAAGTTCTACTAAACTTTCATATATGTATATAAAAATATTCCTAGCAGGGCTTTTTTAACTCTGGATAACAACAGAGTGCTGAAGACAGATGTTGTCAAAATGCAAGCCTCAGCCAAGGAATAAAGAAAGAAGGCTGCCAGTACGCAGCATTAACTGATGTCTAGTATATGATTGTAATTTTTGTGTTTTAGTAATATTTCATTGTTGACAACAATAAAACTACCTAACTGAAAAAGACAAAAGCAGAATAGATAAGCAATGTAAAAAATTATCACTATTTTAGCAATAGTGTTCATCTAAAAATTGCTCAAGACTCAACTGCTCAAGGGTTTGATTGAACACAATATGTGACCTTTCGTATGGTTAATACAGTACTAGCAGTGTTGAACATATCTTCAAACTAGCTTATGTAGTTATAACTCAAACAGGAAAGCATTTACTCAAAACTAGGTTTGTATTTATACGCTTTCCAAGTCTAAGCATATATTTAAAAAGAACAAGTTTTGCATTTTAACCTTTAAAGTAAATTTCTGTTATCTCAAAACATTTTTTGTGAAATGCTATTATAGGAGTCCTTCAATGTTAGTTTGCAAGCTTGGCTTAAGCTAAAAACCCCTTCAGTTCTTTGTTTGCCCTGCATTATTCTGTTGTCTAAATAAATCCAGACTTAAAAGAGCTGATACTGTAGCAGATTCTTTCATTAACCAAGGGCTGGACCACCATGCATGGAAACAGTGCAAGCTTTATTCACCCACGTCTTCCTAGGCATTAAGCATGTCTGTAAGAATACAGAAGTAGGAATCTGAGGATTCCAGTTACTGACCATCCTCTCACAAGCTCCTCTTCAACGGGCTCCAGCAGCAGGATCTCTGCTGTGAACATCCTGCATCGCCTGGATTTCTCTTTAGGTGTGTCGTGGTTTAAGCCCAGCCGGTAACTCAGAACCACGCAGATGACAGTTCACTCCCCAACCTCCACTTTCTCCCCCCACTCCCAGAGGGATGAGGAGGAGAATCGAAAGAATGTAACTCCCACAGATTGAGATAAGAACACTCCAGTAACTGAGGTATAACACAAACCACCACTGCTGCCACCAATAGTAATAATGATAAGGGAAATAACAAGGGAAGAGAATATAACTGCTCACCACCCACCAACCAATACCCAGCCTGAGCCAAACAGTGATCTAGCCCTTCCAGATAACTGCCCTCAGTTTATATACCAGGCATGACATGCTGTGGTATAGAATACCCCTTTGGTTAGTTTGGTTCAGGTGTCCTGCCTCTGCTTCCTCTTGACTTCCCCTTCTCCCTGGCAGAGCATGAAACCCAGAAAGTCCTTGGTCAGAGTAAACATTACTGAGCAACAACTAAAAACATCGGTGTTATAAGCACTGTTCCCATGTTGAAAGTCAAAACCACAGCACTGCACCAGCTACTAAGACTGAGAAAAATGACTGCTGCTGCTGAACCCAGGTCAAGGTGCTTGGGGAGACATTTCACATACAAACAGAGCAGGTTCATTGTCAGTAAACGCTAGCAATAATAATTTAAAGCTGCAGTAATTACTGCAAAATGTATTTTAAGTTTAAATGTAATTTTAAAGATACATTGAGTAACTGGCTTCAACTGTCATTTTTCTAATTTTTCAAAACAAATCTTGAAAACATTTCCTGCGCTGAGTAGCACTACTGTTGCATAAAAGCTCACATTAGATGGGAAAAGCTAATGTCTCCTTGTTTTAAAACCCCCCAGTTTTCCTGCAGAACTAAGGAAAATGGCATTAATGCCATCTATCATACTCACTCTGGTACAGATTTCTACCCCTATGCAGATTTCTACCAGAGATCATGGCACAGAATTACTGATCCAGCTCTCTCTCAGCCCTATCACAGATTAGCAACTGCATAGGAGTTAGAAAAATGATTTGAATTTCCACCTTCTGTTCCTTTCCTGTCATTCTTGACCTGATGTGTGTTAAAAAACAACCCAACCACTACCACCATTTGGCCTTAATAATTTATCTGCAGTTGAATGTCAGAATCCCAAAAGACTACAATGGAGCGTATTCAGTGGTTTCCGTTTAATACATAGCTTTTCCCCAAACGTAGTATTAACTGTCTTCTCTCTGGAAGACACATGTGAACATCTCTGAAAAAACTGGAATTTTTAAAAAAGGGACTTTTGGCAGGCAGTACAGGAAAAGCAACACGAGACTGAATTTGCACATTTAAGTAGTTAGGAGTAAGGTAAGACTTCTGTGACTTAATGCTGTGCCCATTCAACTACAGAATATTTTCTATTTAATTATTTTATGAGCAGTTATTTATAAAATCCCCATGAAGTAAGTATGATCACCCTTAGTTCAGAGATCAGAAACCAAAGCAAAATATATTCTGTAACATTTATTATAACAAATTTTATGAAAATTATACTAAAAAAATTCTTTTTGCAGGGATCTGAATACTGAAATGTACTGCTGCAGAAATTTGTTGTAAGAAAGTCACAAGCAGGAAATGCAGGTGATCATTTGAATAAACAGGTTTTAATTAGAAAATAGCCCTATGCATAAGCACTGCAGGATCACCAAAGACGAGGAAGCTACAGCAAGGTGGTGATATTTAACATTCTACCTTAGATTTTCAGCTTAGCCTAGGTCAAGTATGAAAACATTACCCCCACCACCTGTTAATGTGAAAAATACCCTACCTGGCACATTCCAGCTCTTCAGGCCATGTGATTCCAAAAGTGTCCATCAACTGCTTACAATCAGAATATACCTTCTCACAGAGGCTTCGACAAGGGTGAATCACATGAACTTGCTCTAGGCAGGCAGGGACAAAGGCTTTGCACAGGAATGTGTGGAAGTCTGGTGAACAGTGAAGATTCATAAGCGGAAAAAAAGGCTACAGGGAAGAAAAAGGATTTGGTTAGTAATTTTAAAAAGATAATTCAAGTAGTCAAAACTAACTTTCATCACTAAGGATCACATTTGTTCCCCTGTAGGTTTGAAAAGATAGCAGAATATAGTGCTTGTTCAGCAGCTGTGAAAGAGTAAAACCCAGTGACCTGAGCAGTGAGAAGCTCTGTTAACACTTCTAGCCCTGCCCTGGGATCTTGGCCAATCTCTAACTACTCAAACCTGATTTTTTCCCATTTGACATTAGAAACTTGAACGATATTATGAAAGCCTAAGATTTTTTTTTTTAAAAGAGGGAAACACTAAGTTCCTACATTCACCAGTCAGCTTCTAAATGAGTTTTTTTAAAAGGGTTCCTGTCCCTGTAGTTCCTGTTACATTACATTTTCAGTCTAAGTGGTGTGTTGCACTCATCATCTTCTCTCATGACAGAGAGGTTTGGGTTTCTTTGATTAGTGAGGTCTAAATATCATTATTCTTCATTTCTGAAACACTGCATTTCAAATTTGACGACTGATGAATGTTCCGACTAGAGAATTCAAAAATGATATTTAATGCAACTTGCCCCTTTCTCCTCCCGCCTCCCCCTGAGTTAATTCAATCTATTACTGACAGACAGGCTTTTAAGGTAAAAAGTCAGTCTTCCTTCTCCATATTTTACTAACTTTATTATTAGGGAAAACTATTTTAGCTGAAATACTACTGCATATCAGACAAACCAGAAGCTGTCAGACATTTTTGCAAGTGCTGAATTGTTGTAAGGGCAGCTCACTGAAGGAAGCAAGTGATGAGTGGGCTGTATGTCCAAAGTAGCAGGGCCAAGCAGAAGGAAGCAGGAATGCTGGGGGGCTGTGCAAGCAAGGCTTTGTGTCAGCGAGCACAAGCAGAAATTAAACTGAAGGAGCCAACCATGTGTTGGTGACCTGCTGGAGGGCACATGGACACTAACCACAGATCAGCTAGGGCCAGGAAGTGCCAGGCACTGCCAGGACAGACAGCACATATGTGGTGCACTGCCATTTGGCCCATGTAAAAGCTCTGGGGTGGCAGGTTAGAGGGATGCACAACAGACTGGCTTCTCCATTCACCGAGGTGCGGAGACTGCCCAGGGAAAGGGAGGGAACACAGAGCAGCTGCAGGGGTGTGTGCTGAAGGGATCCAGCCCCACTGGTTCTTGAATAAGCCCCAGCCTTCAGATCCATTGCAGGCTGCAGTTCACTGTCCTGTCTGCCATACCAGACACACTCTCCTGACCCAGCTCATGAAAGTAAAACAAGCTCATTCCCTGAGGGAACCAACCCATAGCTGAGGGTGAAAGCCATCTGCAGGGTCACATCAGCCTTTGAAGTTCTTTTTAAATTATTTTTTTTACGTTTTAGAGAACAATCAGCCATTGGAATAATCTCCCCAGGGAAGTGGTGGATTCCCCAACATTGAACACTTTTAAGGTTCAGCCACAGAGGGCATCAGGACATCTAGTCTAAGTCATGCTTTGCCAAGCAAGGTTGGACCAGATGATCATTGAGGTCCTTTCCAATCTGGCATTCTAAGATTCTACAAAGTACACTTTTTGAAGAACTACTTCTGATATTTCAGGAAACAGGAATCTCCATATCACACCTAAATAGTCAATTTCATGCATCAGGAAAACTGAAACAGTATTTAACACGCTTTTAAATGTTTCGATAAACAGGGACAATGTGCAAAGTTTTCGAAGTAGGCAAAGCTTTTAGTAAGATTTTTATTTAGGAAGAATTTTATTTACTTCTTTGCCATTAACAGCTACATAAATTAAACATTCAACAAATGACCGGTAAGGGAAGGACTAACTTCTGAGTCCTGAATAGCATTCTTACTTTTGCCAGCTCCTAAGAATCCCAAGTATATACACACACACATCTACAGCCAAAGAGCAAGTTTTACTGCATACCAAGCATGTATTTTAAAATAAAAGACACTGATAGATAAATTTCCCCCTCCAAAATGGAATACCTACAAAGCCTCAGGGGACTTTTGCAGTAAGCACAGGAATGTGTAGGGAGGGGTGAAAGGAGAAGATAAGGCACAGCAAGATTAACTTAAAAATGCTTTATGAAAAACAAAAAAACTGTTGGCACTATCCTCCAGAGCACTCCAGCTGCATCTGCAGATGCCATCACAGCAGGTGCACAGAGGTCTGCTCCTGTCTCTCTGGATGTCTGCTCTGGAGCTGCCTTTGCAGGAACCCAAGACTTGAAATGTTTTATGACAAGGAGAATAGTATAACTCTGGTTATAACATGTTCCAGTTCCATCAGTCAGATTAATTCCTAAATACTACATGGTTAAGATGAAAATAACAGTGAGGAGTTAACCCCAAATGAATGAAATGACCTCTGCATAATTATGATGCTTGTTTTCTTTTCAATTAAATGTTATTTGTTCCAATGGTTAATTTATGTTAGGTCTGTTCTTCCTGGCACTTAGGATAAAATGAAGATAATAGCCTGGGTGATCACATACAGCTCCTGTAGAAACCAAGTTCACTTTTGAAATTCAGTCTTACAGAAATTGTCTTGATTTTTTTTTACTTTTTTCCTTTCTGTGTCCCACAAAGTTTATCTCAGTTGACAGAAAATAATTTTCCAGAGCAAGTTTTGGGGTGCCAGGCAAGAACTTCTGCAGCCACAGGTAAAACAGCAACATTTGCTCAACAAAGAAAGAATTAAATAAATAAATAAAATAAATAAAGTATTTCGATAAGCAACAAACAATTTTTTAAATTGAGTTTTCCGACATAGCTAATAAGGCTACATATTGTAGGCTCACCCCTTGATACAGCAAGTAAGTATAACAAAAGTGATATCTGGTGAAGAAAGGACATAAACTCAACCTTTACCATTCTGACTACGGCATGTTGTCACTGGCTAAACACTATTGTTTAACAATCTATTTTATTTAAATGCAAAACTGTGTGAACAGCTAAATACAAAAATGTGAAATTTTAGGAAGAAACCTATGCTCAGCCTGTAATGTAATCGGAGTAGGGACCCAAGGACTTGGCTGCCAAGAGTACTTGTTCTTACAGTATTTCTTTCAGCTTGCTAACAATATTTACCTTCTGACACATGAAAGTATAAACACAAGAAGCAGGATGTTTCATGTTCTGAAGACACAAGCAGACCTTCCGAGTCAGACCAAACTCAGACTGCATTTAGCTGGGCACCCCTTTCTCACCCCAGCTGGTAACAAGTGGGATATAGCAAAACAAGCGGAATATAGCAAAACAAGCTGACATCCCCTTCAGTTTCCTGCAACCAGTGGTTTAGGAAATCAGCTGCAGGTTATACCACCACTGTATTGAAAAGACACTGACAGACCTTCTTTCTGCCTAGAACATATCTAATCTCTTTTTCAATCATTTACACTTAAACCCTTTGCAAATACTACAGCAGTAAGTTAGACTGCATAAATTAATCAGGCACTGCTGAGAAAGGAGCACATTTTGTTTATTGTAACTCCTGGTTTTGCAACCTCATTTATCTTTTGACAAACAGCTAACAGATTACATTTTCCATGTCATTTTGCCATCCTGCTAAACCTTAGCATAATAAGGTTTTACATTTTTCTTTCTATTCCTTTCCTAACATACTTCACCTTCTATTTGCCTTGACTACAGTTGAACACTGACCACACATTTTCAGTGACAGACTCTTTTCTGAGTGACAGTAACTAATATAATAATAACCCCCTCCTTGAATAGCACTTTATTAACAATTAATGATTAATAAATTTACAGTACCAGACTTACACACAACTACTGTCCCGTAAGTGTCACTACAGAACTGCAGTACAACCTCAAAACCTAAACCAGTATATTTTACATATACACTTTCATATCTGATATTTAGGAAATATGGCTGCTGTCAACTATGGTGTATATAAACAGTTTCAAAAGAACAGGCAGCAATTACTCTTCATACTCGGAGAGATACTAACAATCTTCACAGTATCTTTACCCACTTTTATAATGACAATCTGTTTCAATTAAAAATGGTGACACAAATATGGCATGGTTGATTTAATCCTACACTACTGTTTCAATAGAGTTATTCTGGACTGGATGGAAATGAGATTAGCATCATACCCAGAGAGATTAATGCCTTCACACAATTACTAGATAGGATAGCAAGGGTGGTAATTTGCTTTTAGCCATAGTGAATCAGCTGCCAAGAATCTCCAACTTCTAATTCATGCACAGTTAAATAATGATAAATAAATGTCCTAACACATGGAACAAAACGAAGGATGAAATGCTCAAGTTCCATTACATTCAAAGCAGGGTTGAGAAAAAAAAACAAGGTCTTCCTATTGGAAGTTACATTGATGGATTTAGATCAAAGGCAAGTTAAAGACACTTTTAAGTTGGTATGTAAGGATTAGAAACTATTTTGCAGGAGGCTAAGGCAGTTTAGATGTCAGCATCTTGTTGCTACATGTCTGTTAGAAGTTGTTATTTAACAGCAGAGCTGCAAAACAGAAATGTGAGTGTAGCTCATGAACATTAGCACAATGTCAACCATCCATCAAACTACCAGGGAAGATGGTATGAACTAATTTGGAGTCCCACATACTCTGTGTCACCACCTGAGCTTGCATAATAATTGACTATTGCTGCCAGCTGCAAGTATCAGTTATAATCTATATTTTCTAAACTCAGCTAAAATATCATGGGTAACTCCTCTACAACAAAAGAGTTTTCAGGACTAAAATTCACTGATAAGAATAAAATATTTTAGATCTGAACATATGCAAATTTAATACGCATCATTAGTGCAGCCTAATTTGATAGAGGTAAGAGAAAGGCATTCAAAACACATGTATTCAAATTATAATAAGCTGCTTTTAAACAAAGCAGCATTACTTTCTGTAGCTTTCACAAGACAATTAAGACAAATGCAGTCACAATTGATTTAAAAGCTTGTCAAACATATTTTAAACATAATCA